TTTGCATTTACAAAAAAACTCGGGGAAAAAACTTTAAAAATAGAATAAAAAACCATTTATTTTACATCAATTTAAAATATGCTAAAAAATTAATGAATAAATAAATAAGTAAATAGAATAAATAAATAATTTAAAGTCATTCATAATACTGGTCATTCTAAAACAGACTATATGTTACCTGTAATTAATTTCTTTTGATTTCTCTCTCCCCTAACCTGTACACCATTCCCACCGTGCCAAAACCAGTCACCTGTATATATTTCAGAATTTTGGCTAAGTGGGAAGACACCGTCTAAAGGATGTACCCTTGGTGAGGTTCGAAAGAAATTGAAACAATTTTAAGATTTTTGTTTCTTGTTAAACAATGTTAAAAGATTAACAAATATAAGTAAATGAATATTACGTCCTCTATATATGGCCACGGCATTTAACAGACACCACACGACTTTTGGATGATAATACCGCGAATTTGTGGCAACCGGAAGTGGTGTTGACCTCGAAAGGTCAAAGACCTGGATGACTACTAGGCGATAGGATACTAGACATATGCATAATATTTTATATCATTTGAGAAACAGGGAGAAGGCCACTGTTGCAACCTTACTGACACAATCGGAAACTTAAAATTCCACATCAGTTCCAAACAGAGCACAGTCGACTTTTGCATAGGCGTCAGAACCGGGGGGGGGGGGGGGCATAGCCCCCCTACCCCCTTTTTTTATACAAAGAATTGGTACTGAAAGAAGTTCGATCCCCCCCCCCCCCACAAAATAGGATATTCGGGTTTGGATAATTTTCCTCTTTTTTTGACACCAAGGCACTTGCAATTTTGACTATATTGGACTCTTAAGATGGCATTTTCGATATACATGTACTCGTACCAATAGGCAGATACTCTATTTACAGATGAAATCACTGAGTGATGCGTTAGCAATTATCTCTATTGTATATGTATTTTATGGTCTGATTGAATGAAACATATCTATCGAATTGTATCAGGCATGTAGTATCGGAAGGGGGGGGGGGGCTCCCTCCCTTTATTTCAAACATAGCCTTTAACTATTGAAAATATTCGTTGAACATCTACCCCCATCCCCACCCCACCACCACACTTTTCGTTGTAGCATATTTAATTCATGGTAATTTGGTAATGTATTAATTAAATTTAGATGTGAAAGGAAGTTTAAAGCTACCCCCCCCCCCCCCCACACACACACACAAAATAGGGTTTTCGAGTTTTGATAATCCCTCCCCATTTTTTGCTTGACAAAGTTTTTTTTTCAAGTAAACTGTCAATTTTTTTTCTTGCTGCGCCCCCAACCCCCTAACTTTCAAAAACGATACTACTTTATGATTAATTTTGTCTAATTTAAAAATAAAGTTGTCTATAAAAAAAGGGCTCATTGAAACCCTTTTCTGCTCTAGAAGGCAGTCTAATGACAGAATTGATTTGATGTATTCGATTAGGAATCCAAAAGGGAACATTAAGCAGAGACCACGAATGTTTGTCTTCCATAAATTAATCTTAGAAATGGCCTCTTTAAGTGCTCTTTGTGATACATATTACGCTGAACGTCAATTTAATAGGAAATAATTTTTGGTAACTGTTACAGTGAATGAATATAGAGAGGCTTTTTAATTGGCGTATTAGGAATGCTGTAACTCTTTATCCTCTCTAACGCTTGTAATAGACAATGCAGATTATGCTCTTTCTATTCTTTTTGGTGCCATCGACATATTCAGATATATAGGGCGTAAACTTAACATACTGTTTGCCCAAATAAGATAAGGGCCATCGTATTTTCCAATGATACCCTTGGGCAGAAAGTTCACCCGAGTAGCATTGCTCTCCTTGGTGTGTTATTCGTAGAAAAGACCCCCTTCTATGTGTCCTGCATCAAGAAGTAAGTGATGCTTTTAACGCCGACTTTAACTTTGAATTTTTAATGATGTTTACAATTTTCACAAAAAATCAACTCCTTCAGCTTGTAATTTACAATATTTTAAAAAGCAAAACTCGTTGAAATATTTTTATAAACTTATGTAGAGCAGATGAAGAGTCTCTTACATTTATGGCCCAAGGGATTCCTGTGAAAATGCAGTTCGATTCAAAAATAAACACTAATGATCGCTTCACTTAACTACACGTGTCATCTTCAGAAGAACGAACAAAAGTGTTAGAATTAAGAAATTGCTTGCGTTCTACATATTTTTTAGAAGCATTTTTTTTAATATTTAAAAAAGACCCCTCCCCCTTTATTTCAAAATTTATAAAATTCTAGGCACAATTTTGCTTTGGGTCATGTAGAAATAATAAAAAGTTTATCCTATAAAAACTTCGAAAGTGGGGATCAGTCACATATTACAGAATACTTTTTGCATTATTAAGATACCATATTAAAAATTTTAACACTCAATATACTACTTCTTTATATAAAGCATACAATTTATAAATTAAGTGTGGATAGGTTAAATTTTCTAGAAAGTTCACAAAATAAAGTAAAAAGCTGGGGACAGTTGTGCAAAGCAACATAGTATAGGCTACTTGTACGGAAAATATTAACTATGGCATTATACAAAGTAAATAATTTCTATTTTTAAAATCCTTAAAAATACCACAAATTGAAATAATTTGCGATTTTTAACTAAAGAAATACAGAGCATTAAACTACATTAAAACTTCTATTTCTATATTCATATATTTTCCGTATATCAAGGGCATAGACTCAGTGGATCATAATACTGAAGTATTAAGCTGTTTGAAAAAGTGCTAAAATCCTGGTGAAATTTTGGAAATTAATTAATAATATCTATATTTAATTTTAATGCAGTAGACCGTCAAAAATCCGGTATGCGGTCATACAAATATGACTTTAACAATTAAATAATAGATCTATTAAATACAGGATCAAAGAATTTTTCACAAACTACAATGCGTGTTGAAAGTATTCATAAACTAAAAATAGAATTTTAACTCGGTTATGCCCTTGCACAATTGAAATTAATAGGTAACCTCAATACTGCAAGTATAGTTGCTGAAATCACATGATTCCACATCAAGTCTAAATTGAAAATCTAATCGTCCTCATATGTAGTTTCTAACCATATTACATTTGTCCGAAATTAGTGAATTACTAAAAAAAATATCGCAATCCTAATAAAGAATGTATTATTGGGAATATTTCAATTGCGCACTTTAACTGCACTGCGTTAAAGACATGGGTCAAATTTAGCAAATTTAAGGTTAATAGCAAGGTTAATTTTATCATGACTTATTTCAGCACATCTGTAATTTTTGAGCAAAATGTGCTTAAAAGATATCTAAAATTTGTTCTAAAAATATCACTTGAAACCTTCATTGAATATTCCTTTGATATATTAGCGTGAAAAATTCTTGGATTAAAAATATGATTTCAATATAGGGAATAATTTGTTTGTTGTTTAACGTCCCTCTCGAGAATTTTTCACTCATATGGAGACGCCACCCTTGTCGGTGGAGAGCTGCAAATTTTGTCCTATACTCGGCACTTACGGCCATTGAGCAGTGAGGGATCTTTTTCGTGCCAGCAGCTACTGCGACACGGGAACCTCGGTTTATACTGTCTCATCCGAAGGACCGGTCTCCACATCCCACAGTGGGATTCGAACCCGCGACGTAAGGATCAACTCCTTACTTCGCGACTCTAGAGCAGACGCTCTAACCACTGCGCCACGCGGACGGCCATAATCAAATAGATCAGTAGATTTTGAGCATTAAATTTTCTTTTTTATAATCCCTCCACCACAAGAAGTCACGCATTAAATTTATTTCTATCCGATTTTTGAGCATTTTTTAAAATTGGATGTATTATACTTTGCAATGTTTTATTCAAATATGTCATAAAATTCAATTGTAGTTTTAATGTAAGGTTTGACCAAACTTTTGTTTTTTCCAAAAGCTGATCTTAAAATATAAAGTCGAGAAAAGTATGGTCTTCACTCTTGTAGTCTTGAAATTAATGGCAATGTTTTTAAATATTTATTTCAATAAATTCATTGAATGAATCAAACAAAAAACTAGGCAAGGATCCATGGTAAATTTTGAAAACTCCATGAAAAACTACAATTAATAAAGTACATATAATCACAAGTTTATCCCTTTTCTTAGCGTGTATTACGTCAAAGTTCATAGCTTGTTATTGCTGTTAATTCGATACAATTAACCAATAAAGCATGATATGAGATTTTGTCAAATTTAGCTTTGTCAAAATTATTTTATTAAAGTTATGTTCATTAGAGCAGAATAAATAAGATTAATAATTTTGAAGTCTTCCGTTTGTTTCCTGTACAAATATAAATTACTATTTAAATTGTCTACTGCTTAAAATTACATATCGTATTTGTTATGGATCACCATTTACAATAGAAATTCAGAAGTGGTCCTTGTGGACTATTTTTATGTCCTACTGATCCCTTTTGTGACCGCCCTATCGCAGAATGATCAGAATCTTGAAACGACGATGCTTGCATATAAATATTTAGTTAGCTAAGCATGAATTCATTTCTTTTTTCACACGGAGATTTATTTCTATCCTTTTAAGACTTAGTGCTCTTCACATAAATAATTAAAATAAGTCAAATAAACAGTCTATCAGGTATTGACAATAAACCTCGAAATCTTGTATGAAGTGTTTTGTAGCCTTGTTCAAAGACTGTTCCTTAATATTTGCAAGACTGTATGCTAGGGAGAGTAAAAGAAGAAAGAACACTTTAAGATTTTTTTTATGTGTCTTATTTTCAGATCATTAAATGAATTATTCCAGTCATCACATTCCTCAATCACTCGATTTGAAGAGGTATAATCATAAATGTATATAGGTGTAGCTTCTTTAACTTTTATTTGATTTCTACTGTGCTCAGATTCAATGAATAAATTAATGTGCAATTGATATTAAAGTAAAATACATTATACAATATGTTTGTGTTTACTAATCAGTTAATAAAATCGTAACTATATCCCATTTGGACGGTGTACTGCAGATTTATTTCAACCAGACTTGCTTCATGAAATATTTATATGAACAATGAAAGAAGTATCTTACCAAGTTTGTTTGGTGTATGAGCTTTGCAAGATTTCTACATTGATTGATGCGAACAAGACATGCATAAAATCACAGGTACACAAATCTATTCAGTAGACTCGACAACCAGTGATTGATAATCCGAAAAAAAGATTTTAAAGTCACTTTGATATTGCAAATTCATTCTTCCCCATTCTGATAATCAAGGAAAAAGTGAAAATCGACTGACGAGATTTGAAATTCTACATGCAGGTTAATGGATGAAGAGTTTCAAAAGTACCTAAACACACTATGAATTAGGTGTCATTAATTTCTGTAGGACAACTTGAGTTTTTCTTATGATGAAATGAGCGCGAAATTCAGTGTTCACAATGATGATTTATCACTCGGGAATTCATCTACCGTCGATACAGAGGGGTGACTAATCGCTTTCCGTATGCAATATGCCAACCTTGTTGGCGTTTGTTTGGAGTTGGATTCCAGGAGTTCATTCTTGTCATTGCAAAAGGTGTTGCACGTTTTGTGATTATATAATTTGGCTTCGAATTCGAATATTCTTGAAGGTCCTCCATTGGGTTTCGCTTGCCGTAAGCTATGGACCATCCCGGTGAAGCTCTTTTACCATACGATATTGCCCAGCCTTGACCCCTTTTCTGTGAATCCTTGTTGGCGTTATGAAGATTTTTACTGTATATTCCTTGGATCAAGTTTAACAGTGTGTCGTCTGCATCCCTTTGAAATTCCCTGTCCGCTGATATTGAAAACCCATACGAACCTGAAATACATGTTCAAAATATGGTCAAGACATCCTTAAATTCATTTTAAGTTGTATGTCCCTAAACAAAATGAAGAAATGATAACAAAACAATTGCCTGATTTTATTGCATGATAGTAAGAATATAGCGATATCCCGTGTTGCCCTAAATGACATTTTGTAAAACCGAAGTCTTTCTCCAAAAAGGACTAATCTAATGGATTTTTAAGTTCATTTATATGATTAAAAAACAAGAGAAATCCTTTCCCTCATCAAATTGTTGACTTCCACTTACAACTAATACCAGTCATCAGTTTGAACAAATACCGAAGTTTAATTTTTTTTTTTTTTTTCAGAAAGGATAAAGGTAAAATACAATGAAAGTTTTATGCATATAAGCACGATGAAGATACAACCACTCAGTCAAATCAGACTCAGTATATATATGCTTTAACGTTAGGATACACGTTTCATCAAAGAATACTATGTATGAGATACAATGTCATGCTCTTTTGGAAGATAGGAAACAAGATACAATAGCTTTGCAAGAAATTAATCAGACAAATTTGCAACGAGAAATCGGGCGGTAATCATTGTATCTGTTAATAAATGTCTTTTGTCTACTCTCGGTCTCCATTACTGAGCAGTCATTATTGTCACTAGTCTTTTTTTTTCGTACAAAAATCTTGTGAAGCGGGATACTGTTCTCCTTTATTGATTAATTTTAAATGCTGGAAAATTAAATTTATTGCATTGTCACGTTGAAGAATATTCTGAAGGATAAAGTTTAAAATGCACTCACTTAGCAAAATATATGTACTTGTTTATTATACTGAAGACAAACATCACTGATTAAATTTTGAAACAAAGTAAACCTACAAGACACATCCTTTCTTTAATGATTTAGTTAAATCGACATATCAAAAATGGCACGTGTAATAAAACATAACATCAGAAGACACAATTGTAATATCTCGATTAACTATTTTCACAGAGTTCCCCCCTAGTATTCTGAAACCTCTATCAAGAAGGCATACTCGTGGAAAAAATGGTTTAGGTAAAAGACCGAACAATCGCAAAGAATGACGTACAAGCTTAAAGACGGCGACATACCCCCACGCCGAGATAATATATTTCTCAATTTTCGAAGTTTATAGAAAAAATATTTTTGAAAATTAAAAAAAAACTCACATGATTCGAGCTCTCTCCAAAGCTAACAGTTAGGGGTAAAAAAAATCATGGCGCTTTGGTCTCAAAAATGTACATGGCAGACTAGCTTACATAAGAGTTTATTTAAGCATATCATTTTTTAAAATAGAAAGGTTGAATTTTTCTATAAATTGCGTTTTTGAAACATAAAATTAAAACATATTTTATTTTCATTTTCCTGTCACTTGAAGGTTTGTGTAGGATAGAGACTTGATCATTCGTGTTCGAAATTCATATTTTATGAAAATGGACTATGATAGACCCAGTTTACACTGGCAACATTTAAAAAAAATTATCAATCAATAAGTAATTCAATAAAATAAAGGAATCATATGTTAAAGACGATATTTTTTCAAAAGTACAACTTTTCTTCGAACTTTAAAAATTGAAAAATTGTCTCAGAGCGGGGGGTTGTCCATATACGCCATCATCTTTTAAGTGAACCTTAATATACACAATAATGAATTTTCTGGTCTAGAGGTTTACACTACTATTATATCAAGGTTGCATATTATGTCCTTCATAAATTGTTTTTTTCAAAAAATGCTTAAATTAAAAAATGGTAAACTAAGTCAAATTGTAAAATTAAGTTGAATCTCACTCAAATCCAAATAGTAGTACATTGAGATGTACTCTTAGTCTGATTAGATCAGTCCACAGGCCTTTGGATCGCTTAAATCTGACTTTAAAAAATTGGGGTGAATAAAAAAGATAAAAGGTATTTTTTTTAACACCTTAATTTTTTTCAAAGCGATCTAAGGGCCTGTGGATTAGCCAAGTAGAATAAAACAATAACAGTTGAATAATTTAAAAATCGGTATTTTGGTTTTTGTTTCCTAATTCAATAACAATAGGGGGTGTACATGTATATCTTAACGGCTGTTCACAAGTTACAGATACACAAACTTTGAAGTTTACATGTACCTAGCAAAATAGAAAAAAAATGACATGCCAAAGTTCAACAACTGAAAAAATGAGCAATATCCTTTTCTTATTTAATATAAAATAGAGTATTTTAATTAAAATGTGTAATAAATATGCAAAGCTTCTTTGGAATATGACATGAAGTTGGACACGTGATCATGGGCGTTATAGTAGATTTGATCACGAACAAACTTCATGTCAAATCTCAATAAAACTATAAAAAATTATATTTTATTTATTATATTGATAAGCGACGCGAGCTTAATAGACTTAAGTGTAAGGACATAGAAAATTCGAATTGAAATCTGTATATTCGTCAAGCAATTTTTTATTTGAAACCTTCCCAGAATTCTTACACTACCGTGCAGTTTGCTTTCCGTAAGCAAGAAAGTCTTATCACGTGATCGACTTCATGTAATCAAAAACTGAATATCGATTTCGTTAGTATTGGTTATTCATTAAAACACATTGGCAAATTTTAAATAATCAATGTTTAAAATAGAAAGCTGTTAGCGTTAACGTTACATATTACACAAACTACAATGTGTGTACTATCCATTCCAAGGGGCATGAAAAAAAAAACATGACCTTCTAATTTTAGTTCAGCAATAAAAAAAATAACATTCTATTTCTTTACTAATCCAACATAGAATGTGCTAATCAATCACTGAAAAATTTCAATAATGTGGAATTAAAATTGTTGAAGATAGAATATATAAAGATACGGCAATTACCGTTTGGGCAGTACGGACGGAGTTGAACGGTTACTAGACCTGAAGTAGTAAAAACACATTTTATGGCACTTAAATCGTTTGCCTGTTTTCATTCGAACGGAAATTCTTTTTACACATTAAAGTCAAAATCCTTAAGCGAAATCATATCTTCCAGCAACATACCAAAGGGATTTTTTAATACATATTTTGGAATACATGTTTTTATAGCAGGTGACGTCTAGGTGCAAAAGACATAGGGACAGTAATTCTATCCAACCAAATTGAGATAGAGTATAAATTGTCATGTTCCCAAGACATAATCTTTGTTTATGAATCGTAAATTAACGACTCTTAAATTGTCACTTTTCTTTGTTAATCTTTTAATACAGATCATGTTCAAAAGAATAGATATTGGAAATGTGATTACAAACAGATAATGAACACGATGAGCTTTCCCACTCATATTTTATTGTTGCAAACAACACCTAAATCAAAATCGTCAACTATAACCCAGCTTATTTATCAATATTTATGATTTATTTAGTGCGCTTTGGGTGCCTGGGTGTCAAGACAAAAGAAATTAATTTTGATACTTCCATTCAAAAAAGTAGAAAATCGAACACTTTTTGTGCGAAATATTACATTCATTAGGTTTATCAAAGGCAATGGATGGACATACGTTGTACCAGATATTTGGTCCCTATTATGTACGAGGGCGATAAATCTGGAAACCAGAGTTATTCTCGAATGCTAAATGGGATGTCAATCAAGACTGATTACAGAGAGAGAGAATTAAAGCGGTGTTTCGCAGCTCGTAATCTCGATCAACAGCACAGAATCACACATCCTGTAAATCAATCTATTGGATTGTACATTATCCGGTTTAAATTGTAAAAACTACAGGTTTTATTTCCAAATAAATCATCCCTAAGAAACTCAAGTTCATGAGAATCCACGCATTTGTCACATAAAAACAGAATGCCGTCGATTTCTCAATTAACTTCATTAAGAGATTTTGACAAAGTCCTTGCGCAAACTGTTCAATTCGCTTACAGTGCACCTTAAACTTTGAACAAGTACAGAACTAAAAAATCTGTCCAATGCGTTTTAAGGAACGTTATTCAATCAAAAACCAAGCTAAGAACCGCCTAAATTTTTTTTTAAAAGATGAATCGTGGATAAAAGGTGTTACTATAATGAACATGGGTCAGGGTGGTAGGCATCTCCCTACACATGCCCCCCCCCCCCCCCCCTCTGGATCTATTTTTGAAATTGCATTCTTTAATATACAATTATGAAGAGCGTCATACATATTGTGTCAATAATATTAAATGAATTGCGACTTCCTCCCCTGAAATAAAAATGGACGAAATCCCTCATTTTATATGTGTTGTTTGCTTTTCTACATTCACCGAAATATTAAGTAGACAAAAGGTTTCCGATATTTTGTTATCGTAAGACGTATTCAATAATTAACATTATCTATCTGCAGGTTGCATAAACAATTCGTTGCAAAAAGTTGTAGCTCAAACATAATTTACTTCATTCTTGTTCCACTCATTGGTCAAATGTTACACAACGTGACCAACAGTCATTATCGACACAAATTGAACTTGATATCAGACTGGCTGAACATGTGATTAATAGTTGTCAATCATAAAAATACAAAACATGTACGACAAGATTAGATGAATGCCCAAATATAAAATCATTTAAAAAACATTCGACAAAATGTGTGCGGGAAGTTACCAAGGGAAAAATTTTTTTTTTCTCATTCTTAATGTTTTGCTTTCAAATTATCTTAGATTAAAGATTCCTTGGTGTTACAAATTTCAGGGATTCTGAAACAATGCCAAAAGGCAAAATATATTACCTTTCGGTCCTTTTTACAGAAACCGAAAGAAAAGAGCAATCGCATAGTATGAAGATATTCATTTATTTTAATTATTCTTGATTACTACAGGGTTAAGAGAACAAACCTAATTACTTAAAGGTTCACTGACCCTCTGATAAAAAAGATAACTCTTACTGGGATTTACAACTTTTACTTGTTTCCTCTTTAAATTATTCAAGTTCGTCAACTTTATACAAGCTACGGTATGAAGAAATTGTGAATATTTCAGTTATAAGAAGATGGGCGTGTTTGGCTCGTAATCTGGAGGAATCTTATTTACA